GGGGGCGGGGGGAGGACAGAAGGGGAGGGGGCTGGGGGGGAGGGAGCGGCGGGGGGGCGGGGGAGGGACAGAAGGGGAGGGGGCTGGGGGGAGGGAGCGGGATAGAGGCGGGGGGAGGGAGGGAGACGCAGCGGACGCGGCGCAGGGACCCGGCTGCAGCTGCAGCGAAGCCCCCAGCCCAGAGGAGGCAGGTACCAGACCCCCCCCTCCCCCCTCCGCCCCACCCCTATCCACCCCCCACAGCCCCCCTTTTCCCCGACACCCCGTTTTCCCTCCAGGCCCCCCAACCAGGGTGCTCTGTGCCCAACAAAGTATGGGGGCAGCATTTGGGGGTACAGTGGGCTAGGGGCGTTTTGGGGGTGCGGGTTCAGGAGGTTTGGGGAGGTTGAGGGTTATTTTGGGGGGCGTGCAGGGCAGGGCTGGGGAGGTTTGGGGGGCTGGAGATTTTGGGGGGCACAGAGGCAGGGTAGGGCTGGGGGGCTTGGGGGGTACAGAGGCTGAGCTGGAGACCTTTTGGGGGGCACAGAGGCGGGGCTGGGGGTGTTGGGGGATTATTTTTGTGGGGGTGGGTATCCTCGGGGTGATAGGAGGAGGGTCTGTTTCAAGTGAGGGCAGGCGTGTAAGGGGGCGTCCTGTGCACGTGCAAATTGCTGGGCAAGGGTGTGTGCAAAGTGTGCAAGGGAAACCAAGACGTGTCCCCAGATCTCTGTGCCGGGTGAGTGTGTGTACACACAGGGGTGGGCCCAGGGCTGTGCATTTTCCCTTGGTGTTTGCACACGGGCGTGGCTCTCCCTGCCTTTGCACAAGCACACGTCTCCCCATGCGTGTGTCTCCCAGCCTTTGCACAAGCACGTGTCACCCAGTGTCTGGCTCCCAGCCTTTGCATAAGCGCACGTCTCCCGTGCGTGTGTCTCTCAGCATTTGCACAAGTGTCAGTTTCCTGGCATTTGCACACATGCGTGTCTCCCAGTGTGTGTCTCTGGCATCCCCCCCATCACCTGGCCTTTGCACAGGCGCGTGTATCCCAATGCCCGCGTCGCCCGGCCTCTGCCCACACCTGTCTCCTGGCATCTGCCCCCCCCCCCCATTTTTCGGCATTTCTCCAAGCCCTTGTGACGCCCTTTAACCCGCCTCTCCCTTTTCCGCCCCCTACAGCCGCCATGGGCTAACCCGGCCACCCCGGACCTCCCCTCCCCCATGTCGGACGCCTCCCGCCCCAGCCAGGCGCCCGCGTTCCCGCGGCTGTGGGACCTGCGCCCCCACGCCTGCTCGCCCCCCCAGGGCCGCGGCTACGGCTGCCCGACCTGCGGCAAGGCCTTCGCCCGCTCCTCGGCGCTGCTCCGCCACGAGGCCGCGCACCGCGGCGAGAAGCCCTTCCGCTGCGCCGAGTGCGGCAAAGGCTTCGCCCAGGCGGCTCAGCTGGAGACCCACGGGCGGTCGCACACCGGCGAGCGCCCCTTCGCCTGCCCGCACTGCGCCAAGGCCTTCATGTCCTCCTCCCACCTGGCGCAGCACCGGCGCACCCACTGGGCCGAGCGCAAGCACGGCTGCCCGCTGTGCGGCAAGACCTTCCTGCGCCCGTGGGACGTGGCCCAGCACCAGCGCTTCCACACGGGCGAGCGGCACTTCCGGTGCGAGCGCTGCGGGCGCGGCTTCTTCCGCTCCTCCGACCTGCTGCGGCACCAGCGGGTGCACACCGGTGAGCGGCCCTTCCGCTGCGAGCGCTGCGGCAAGACCTTCGCCCGCTCCTCCGTGCTGGCCAAGCACGCCCGCACCCACACCGGCGAGCGGCCCTACCGCTGCCCGGCCTGCCCCAAGGCCTACGGCACCGCCTCCCAGCTCACGGAGCACCAGCGGGTGCACACCGGCGAGCGGCCCTACCTCTGCTCCGTCTGCGGCAAGACCTTCGCCTACTCCTTCCTGCTGCGCCGTCACCTCAAGATCCACACCGGGGAGCGGCCCTACCCCTGCCCCGAGTGCCCCAAAGCCTTCAAGACCTCGGGGCACCTGCAGAAGCACCGGCTGATTCACACCAGGGACAGCGCGGCCGGGGGGAGGAGGCAGCGGCGGAAAAGGGAGGCGGGGCCGGGAGCGGAGTGAGAGGTGGGAAAGGGGGTGCCCCCACCCCGTCCAGGGAGACTCACCCCCTCCCACTGTGGGGGATGCTCATTGGGGCGTCTTCGGAGAGGGGGTGCAGAGACTACAGAACCCCCCAAATTGGCACATTGCAGCCCCAAATTAAAAGCCAGCATCCCCCCCCAAATTGGCAGTAAGATGCATGCTCAAGTTAAACGCCAGGTTTACCCCCATATTGGCAAGTTGCACCCCCACATTAGAAGCCATGTTCTCCGCTTAAATTGGCAGCAAGATGCAGCCCTAAATCCAGCCCTAGATTCACCCTTTGACTGGCAAAATGTGGGTCCAAAATCAGAGGACTCGGGTTCCCCCAAAAGCTGACAGCAGGATTTAACTCCCAAATTGACAGTCAGGTTCACCCCAAAAGAGCAAAGTTCCTCCCCCAAAATGGAATCAGGTTCACCCCAAAATTGGCAGCCAGTTTGCCCCCAAATACCAACAAAATACACCCCCAAATTAACAGCAAGGTTCACCCCAAAACAGAATCAGGTTCACCCCAAAATTCACAGCAAGATGCACCCCCAATTTCAGAACCCCCAAACTGACAGAAGGCTGATGCCATCATTTATAGAAGACACCCCCAAATTAGCCCTCACCCCAAAATTTCATAGCAAGGTGACACCCAACATTCATAGGATGATTCACCCCAAATTTCATAGCAGATTCACCCCCAAATTAACAGCCTGGTTCACACTACAGTTATTAATAAGATGTGCCCCGAATTCAGAGCTGGAGTCACCCCTACATTTATAGCAGTTTGCTGGGAATTGCACCCTAACATCAGCGCCGTCTTTGCCCCCAAATTTCACAGTGGGTTCACCCCAAATTTATAGCAGGAATCAATGCATAAAACTGGCACAGCGGTCCCAAGTTCAGAGCTGGGTTCACCCCAAAACTGACAGCAAGATTCACCCCAAAATTTGACAGGAAGGTTTCCCCAGAATTACATGGCAGTTGCACCCCAAATTTTCTAACAAGGATCCCCAGGTTTACAGCAATTTGATCCTGCAGCGATCCCCCAATCTGGCACCAAGATTCACCCCAATTCTGTCACAAATTAACCATCTGTTCACCCACAAATCACAGCAATTTCAACCCCTCTAATTGACAGATTCATCCCCAAAATCAGAGCATGATGCTACCCCATTTTACAGCGATTCACCCCAAATTGGTGAGGTTCACCCCCAAATCACAGCCAGATTCACCCCATCAGCCAGCCCTGAGAACTGACAGAATTCACCCAATGTCACTGTATGTTTCAGCGTCCCCCCAAACTGACAGATTCACCCTAATTTCACAGGAAGATCCCTCCTCCCAAATCATGGCTAGGTTCAGCCCCATTTCATAGCAGGCGAGCACCCCCCTAAATTGAACAAGATTCACCCCCAAATCAGCAGCATTCACCCCAAAATTTCCAAGCGGGGAATCAACCCCAAACTGACTGTGACACCTCCTCTCAAATTCACCCCAACATTTCACAGCATGCTTCCCCCCAGCTGTAAATAAGAGAGAAGCAGACCTTTCCCCCCCTCCATAGACTCTGGGCCCCTGGGGTTCCCTCTAAGCCTCCTCTGGCTTGAGGGGGCTGTTGGATGGGGGGGTGCATGTCTATACGTCTCTATTGTGGCCTGATGCGCTCCGGGACTGGGAATTGCCAGATCGTTGTCTCTGTAGTGACCTCCTGAACCCTGAAATGTATATGGTGTTCCCCCACCAAGTCCTCCCTCATACAGTAAAATGTGGTTTGGTCCTATATACCTTATATGGGCCCTGTGTGGTTATTGGGAGCTGCAAGCGGCATGCAACATGCCCACTGGCCACCAGGGGGCATCTGAATAGCTGGGCGTGGCCCAGTTGCCTGGGTTCTCCAGCAGGGGGTGCCGTGACATTGGTTAGGAAAGGGAACCTGCAGAGGCCTGGATACCTGTGTTCTCCAGCAGGGGGCGCGGTGACACTTGAGAAGTTGGGAGAAGGGCCCGGACACCTGGGTTCTCCAGAGGGGAGGAGCGCCTGACACTGGGTGAGGGAGGGGCCCTTGGGCTGCAGGAATGGGGCGCTGTGACACCAGGATCAGAAGATTGCTGTTTCACTTTATTAATGACTCTCTATTAACGTTACGTTATTAAGCCCAGTCTTGGGGGGTCAGCTGGGGAGGGGGTGGGAGGTTCCCAGCCACGATCTGGAAAATTGGGCCCCTTCACTCCTCATCATGGAGCTTCTGGAAGAAAAAGCAGAGAGGAAAGACTGAGAGAGAAGGAAGGAAAGAAAGAAAAAGAGAGTGAGAGAGAAAAAAGATGGAATAACAGAGAAAAAATGGAGTGATAAAGACAGATGGAGGGACAGAGAAAGAAAGAAAGGAAGATGGAGTGATAAGGAGTGATAGGGAGAGAGAGACAGAAAGATGAAGTGATAAGGAAAGAAAGGAAGAAAAAGAAAGATGGAATGATAGAGTAAGAAAGAAAAGGAATGAAAAACACCAAGCGATACAAAGGGAAAGGCTGAGCGACACCCTTGGTGTGACAGGGTGGGGGTCAGGGCTGGAGTCTCCGGGTTGGGACAGCTGGACTGAGCGCTGCCCCCTGTCCCTGTCGCTCACCTTCCCCCCAGCGTCGCGGCTCTTGGCCCGCAGCTTGTTGACCTGGGACTCGGCGATGTCAGCCCGCTCCTCCGCCTCGTCCAGCTCGTGCTGCACCTTCCGGAACTTGGCCAGGTTGGTGTTGGCTTGTTCCTCCTGCCGGGGGAGAGAAACTGGGGTGTTACCTGTGGAACTGCCTGCTACTGGGTCTGCAGCGCAGCCCAGAGTTCAGCATGGCCAGGCCCCTGCACCTACCTGGGTACTGCCCTGCAGAGGAGGGGAATGTCCCTGCCTCACTGGGGGCATAGAGAACAAATGGATTGTGTTAACGTGTGGAACTGCCTGCTACTATATTTGCAGCAGATAAGAGCAGGAATGGGTACTAACAGATTAGACCCATCCATTCTCTCATCCGTCAACCTGTCCATCCATCCCCCTCCCCACTCAACTATCCACCCATTCATCCCTCCCTCCCCTGCATCTGCCTGGCTTCTGCCCCAGTGGGAGTTGACACAGAGAACAACACCCCCCCCAAATTAATATGTTTGCCTGAGGAACTACCCACCACTGGATACTCAGTGAACACAAGCAGGCCCTGGTTTAGAGGGGAGAGGCAGGATTGGCTGGGATGAATGGCCAATGAGGGGAGAGGGAGCCTCGACTGACTGGACCAAGGGGCGGATACTCACCGCCTCTTCCGCCTGCCTCTTGTAGGCTTTGACCTTCATCTGGAGTTTGTCCACCAGGTCCTGGAGTCTCATCAGGTTTTTCTTATCCTCCTCGGTCTGAGGACAGAGGGGGAGAGAGAGAGACAGGGATGGTGGAGGAAGCATTAGGATAACAGCATCCCTGTCACCCCTGACCTCTCTGGCCGTGGGGTATCCAATGCCATCTGGAAACCATCTAGGCTCCAATCTCCAGACCCCATCTAGAATGGAAAGGCCATCTAGAAAATGGTCCTTTTCTCTAATTCTAGAATGGGCTTTAGATCAGATGGGGGACTTATGGAGAGCCGGACTTCAGGGGGGAAGGGTTAATGTGAGGAGCGTCTAGAGTCTGATTCTAGAAGGGAAGGGTGGGTGGTCAGGCAGTAGGGCCTGGCTCTAGATCAGAGGGGGCCAGGGAATCAGGCCTTTTAGTTCAAGTTTAAGAGCAAGAAGACTCCAGACTCAAGCTTGTCTTCCCAGGGGGAAAGCGCCTGAGAACGAAAGACGCAGTGGGAACTTATTTTTTGATTCTAGAAGCAAGATGGGTTCTAAAGTTCTGTTCTAGACCCAGAGGGCCCAGACTTGGGCTGTTCTTCACACACAGACCTTTCCCCTCTGCCACATGGGCAAGTCCCTTCAGAATAAAAGAGACCCACTGGGGACATGGCAGCAGGTGGGTGCTGATATTTGGTTCTAGAACCACCACAACATTCTAGAATTCTATTCTAGAACAGGGTGCTTGGCTCGTTCTAGGCAGTGTCCTCCATCTCCACGGAAAAGCCTCTTTCAGAATGGAAGGACCCACTCTGAGTACCGTGTCTTTGGCTCTGGAACCGAGATGGCGTTGTAGACTACCCGCTCCAGAACAGGAGCAAAGGAATGCTCTGTGCTGCTGTCCTCCCTTCCCCCAGGAAGACTGAAAAGCACTGCAGGGGTCCTGCCCCTCAATGCTGGAACTAGGAGCAATGATCTAGAAGCAGGAGAAAACTGCCTGGAGTAGGGCTTCTGGAGAAGGTTTTTTTCTAGATGCACATAACCCCCAGCCCCCAGGTACCTGGTAGGTGAGCTCCTTGATGCGCCGCTCACACTTCCTCATACCCTTGATGCTCTCCACATTGCGCTTCTGCTCTGACTCCAGCTCGTTCTCGAGCTCCCGGACACGCGCCTCCAGCTTCTGCAGCTGCTTCTTGCCGCCCTTGAGGGCCAGCTGCTCGGCCTCATCCAGCCGCAGCTGCAGGTCCTTGATGGTCTGCTCCATGTTCTTCTTCATCCGCTCCAGGTGGGCGCTGGTGTCCTGCTCCTTCTTCAGCTCCTCCGCCATCATCGCCGCCTGCGGCCAGAAAGAAGAGTCATTCCCTGCCCCCCTGAGCCAGCCAGTACCCCCACCCTGGGGCCAGGTCGGAGCCGGTGCCCCTAGAGGGCACAGGCCCCCTGTCCCATTCCCTCGCACTCACGTCGGTGATGGCTTTCTTGGCCTTCTCCTCGGCATTCCTGCACTCCTGCACGGCCTCCTCCACCTCTGTCTGCAGCTGGGACAGATCCGCCTCCATCTTCTTCTTCTGGTTGATCAGGCTGGTGTTCTAGAGGAACACAAGGGGGGGGTCAGGATGATCAAGAAACAAAGTGTCATCCAGTTATCAAGATCTCTGTCCCCTGTTCTAGGTCTTCTTTCTGGAAGAGCACCTGGAATCCACCTGGAACCAGGATCCAGAGCTACATGGGAACGGGGGGGGGAGGGCCTTACAGGGACACTGAGCTGTGTTCTAGATCATGATGGAGCTCCAAGCACAGACACACCAATGTTCTAGGCAGCTATTCTAGAGTGAGTGGATTTTTGTGCTGGAGAAATGAGCTGGGTGCTGGCAGTATAGATCCTGGAGAACCACAGATCCACCATCCATGCTCCCGGGCAGACAGAATTCTAGATGTGGCTGCTCTGGAGCGTGACATTCTAGGTCACGCCTGCTGCAGTGAATGAGTGCTCTAGATGACAGATCTCTGCAGGGCGTCCCAAGGACAGGAGATTGGGGGCAAAGGGAGCTCCAAGATGGGGGAGTCAGGGGGTCCCCATCTCTCTCACCTGGGTGTGGAGCAATTGGACTCTCTCACTGGCTTCTATCAGCTCCTGCTCGGCCAGTTTCCGGGCGCGCTCCGTCTGCTCCACCACGGCCCGCAGCTCCTCCAGCTCGGCCTGCAGCAGGGAGTTCCGCCGCTCCACAATGGCAATGTTCTCCTTTAGGTCCTCGTTGGCCCGGATAAAGTCATCCAGCTGCAGCTGGGAGTCCTGTGGGCACAAACATGTAGGGCTACAGGGGACCCCCCCACCAGCCAGCATATCCCCTGCCCTGGGGCCAGGTGGGAGCTTCCCCGCCGAGGGAAAAGGCCTCATTCTCTTTCCTTTGGAGGCCCTGTTACCTTGAGCTGGGTCTGAGCGGCCTTGAGGTGGCTCTGAGCCTCGGCCGCCATGCGGTTGGCGTGGCTCAGCTGGATCTCCATCTCATTGAGGTCGCCCTCCATCTTCTTCTTGACTCTCAGCGCCTCGTTGCGGCTGCGGGTCTCGGCGTCCAGCGAGGTCTGCAGCGAATCCACCACCCGCAGGTGGTTGCGCTTGGCCTGCTCCATCTCCTCGTCCTTCTCCGCCAGCTTCCGCTCGAAATCCGCCTTGAACTGGTTAAACTCCAGCTGGGCCCGCAGAATCTTCCCCTCCTCGTGCTCCAGAGAGGCCTGGGGGTGGGGGGAGGAGGGAGGATGAATGAATGAGAGAAAAGAGAGAGAGAGAGAGAGAGATATTAAGACATAAGGGAAGGAAGAGAATTTAATGGAGATGAAAGAAAATGTAGAAATGAAAGAAAGAAACAGACGTAGAAGTGAAAAAAGGAAGAATGCAGAAGAGAGAAAGAAAGGACAAAATGGAGACAAAGATGTAAAAAGGAAACAGAAAGAATGAAACGAGACATGGAAAGGAATGAATTAATACATGACAGGAAAAAAAGAATCAGTGAATGAAAGCAGGAATGAAACAACGGGGGAAAGAATGAGTGAAAAATGAGGTAGGGAAAGAAAAAATGAACCAACCAGTGAAAAGAGGAATAAATGAAGGTGTGATGGGGTGCATTTGCCTCGCACTGGTACTGCAAATGTTAACTCTCTGGGCCCAGGAGGCCACGCCCCCTCGGCCCTGCCCATGCTCCAGATGGAGACTAGGTATAAAAGGGAGCAGCTCGGTTCATTCAGGGCTGACCGCGGAAGAGGGAGGTTGCACGCTGCAGGCTCCAGCCAGAGCCGCCGAGACCCGGGAGGATGCCCAAGAAGTGACGGAGCTGCTGAGAGCCGCAGAGACCGAGGAGCCCCGAGATGCCAGGACCACCGCCCCAGGGACAGGGCAGGAAGTAGCTCAGGGGGACTAGTCATTGTGCTGAGTGGTGTGAGCGTGTTTTGGGCAGATCCCCCGCTGACCCAGTGGAGGGCGCCCT